TTTTTTGCGATTTTTTTGGTCGTTATTAAGATAATATGTCGATATGTTAATAAACATATTGGCCGTTATTATTATGTTATTAAGTATAGTTAATAATATGTTATTGCCCGTAAATCTGTATAATACACACTTTTTTGTATTGAATGTAACTCTTATATTGCATCTACGGGATTTTTTTTGTCATAGGTTATGTTTATTTATCCCACCAGCTTTTTTCACGTGACTTTTTCTGTCCCTTCTGGTTTATTGCACTCGATCATGTGGCTACTCAGTTCTGGACCATGGTCACACATTTGGACAAATTAAGAATTATCATAATTTGATGATCAGTAACTGATTTTTTGTGCACTGTTGGTTTGCTACATTTGAAAATCGGGTTGCAAGCTACAGCGTTACTTTGTAAACTGGATATGACATTAGTCCAAAAGCAAAACGCAATATAAACGAGCATAACAACAGTTTGATCATTTTTGTTCGGAAAGACAAATTGATTGAAAATGATGGTTCATTTGTTTCACTTCTTAATTTCTGATTATTCAACGAATTTTTGGGACTGAATTTCTATGCCGATTTCGTTTTCAAAAATGCAATTCAACCAAGCTGTGAAATTTGCAGTCAAAGTGCCAGGGAATTTATTTGAAACAAATAATTTCGCATTTACGTTTATTGCGTCGTATTGCATAGGTAGTAGGTTCGTTTGAAAAACAAAATCAGAGATATAGTGTAATTAGTATTTACAAGGGAAGGAAAAAAATACAATACACTAAAACGGAACACAGTCTGAAGCTCAATCTATTTTCCATTGGAAATTCATTTTTAAGACTCTTCGCTCATATTTGTTTTTGTTCCGTGCGATATTGCAATTGATATTCAGCTAGCAACAATGTTCTCAACAAATGCACTGTGGTGAATTCAACACTCAATTCAAATGCATCTCACAACGAAATCGTTAACAAAAAGCGCACCAGTACACACAAGGAAATGAAGTGAAGATTTCTGGCACAAATGGTTTTTCTTTTTCTCGAAAATGAAAACCCTGGATACAAAAAATTTGATAGGTTCCAATCCATCATACCACCAGCCCCAAAGTTGCTATTCCCTCGGACACAGAAAATGTATAGTATCTCTGTCACACTTGATATGTGAAATTTTTACGACTCGATATTGAAAAAAAAGCTTCGCGAAACTATTTTCTCATTCGACGCAATTTTGTTATTCTTTAAATTCACCACGATGTATGGGGTGAATATATATAGGATTCCGAGCCTTAGAATTACCCACGGCTTGAGAGAGATTTTTGAATTTACATCCAATTAATTGCAGATTTTTTAAATTTTACTATCGATTTCAATGAAGGCGTGTGTACAAGAAATCGGATTATCACTTGTTTCTCGGGTCATTTTCGGGTCACAGTTTGATATTCCAGAATCTTACATACCCTCCACCACTGATTTTAAGCATTCAATTCTCTTGATTTGTTTTTTTCAAAATCCCGATTTCTCCTCCATTTTTTTCAATTTTTGTTTTCGAATAATTCCCAAATTCAAGCAAAATACCGATGATATGCCTAGCAATGATACCAGCCACATTCGTTCATTTCATTAGGACATACTTCTGGTATCGTTTATATTTGATGATTGTTTGGTTAGGAATGTTTTGTTATTGTATCGCGTGAAAATCGGCTACGTGAGCATATTGACTCAACGAAGTGTCCCAAAACGCTCTTTTTTTCGCATGTTTTTGCTCCCATTTTCTCTCTCTATGAATTTTTTAGATCTTTCGAGCACTGTTCATGAACAGTGTATGGTCAACGTGGTGGTAACTATTTTGAGTTTATTTTATGGTTGGAATTTTATATTTATATGGATACGTTTTGGTTGTGCAAGAGCCAAAAAAAAGTGCACGGTCAATACGATTTTGACGAGTTATTGCATAACAGCAAAGGTAAAATATTTAACACAAAAATGGCAAGCGAGTGCAACTCGCACGTGCAAAGTACATATTTCAAAAATGAATACAATTTTTAACGATAGAGAGAAAAACTGAATAGAGGAAATTTGAATGGGAATGAGAACGAAAACGAGAAGAGGAATGGAGATGGAGATATATTGGATTACAATTCATGACGATCATCAAAGTATGTGCAATAAAAAATCCAAATCATAATCACAATCAATAAGCGTTCATCTATTTATAGGGGCAAATTCCATAGCATATTTCAAACGTTCGCATCTCAATTCAATATCGGAGCCAATGTGTATGTGCTTTGAATAATGCACACATATAATGCTTATCACGCGATCCAACAATCAATTTTTAATGTGACCAGACGTTGTGATGGAGTTTAAAGATCAGAACGTGGGCAAGATTCGTCAGAAATTTACACAATACACATGATGGACGCTTATTCTTTCTGCTTATTATTTTTAACGTAATGAAAATTCAATTCATTATTTCAACATTGATTAGTCTGTTTGCTGTGAACTTTGACAAATCTTTGGGTTACACTATATGTACTGGAACCATCCTATTGCAAATCATCAAAGTCGCATATGCTCACACTCAAGCACAGTTCATTGGCTAATGATATCTATTTGATCGTTGACATTTACGCACTATATATTTATTTTAGGATTCTAGCAAGTATGTTCAATTGTTAAGTGAGTGAAATGCAGCTTACCTTCTAAATCAACCACACGTCCAGCCCGTTTCAGCGCACGAACGGCTTCTTCATGCGTGGCATCACGTAATTCTTCACCATTAACCGATAATATCGCATCGCCTACGTACAACCCTTTTGCACTATCAGCAGCCATTCCTCGAAATATTTTCGATATTAAAATTGGCATACGATTTTCTCGGCCGCCTTTTATTGATATTCCTAGTCCATTATTATCCGATTTGGTAATTCTTACGTGTCTTTTTTGATTTGCTACTTCATAAGGTACATCGCACATTTCAGCCCCTGCCCCTGCACTGTTGTCCGCTGAATTATTGTTGTTATTCAAGTACTCGCTGTTGTTAGTCTCATCGGAATTCAACGACGATACGCCGTTTCCACCAATTCCTGATGATGGCAGCGACCCGCTTGATCCGTTATTCCCACTATGATTTGATCTATGATTCATTCAACTGATTAGTATTCTTCTGATTTCATTCATTATTGCATTATTTTTGCGTTGGGGTTAATATTGAGGCCCATGACATATTGCGTGTACACAACACAAAAGAAGCTACATTTCGCAATCCGACATAATTTGTAATTGAATGCCAACTTACCCCAAAGTGCCGTTCAATGTGGTTGTTTGGTCGATTGGTTCACATGTTTCGTCCAGGCTAACGGACAAGTAATCAGATTCAAGTGTTAATGTTACACGATACCATGCACCCCGTACTCTCGTTTCCAGCACACCGCATCTTGCTGTCCCGATGGCTCCAATCATTGTTACGGCCGCGGCATTTGGATTCACCGTACTCGCTCCAGTTGACATTACATCCAATGGATTATTGCGAGACATTAATAATCCAGATGATTCAACCATATTTGAATTGGCATTCACTAGATCGGCAATTCGATCGATTTTTTTTATATTATATACTCGTGTCACTTGTGCACAAAAGATTTGAAAAACTCTTCACTTCGTTGAACTTCTTATTTCTTTGAATTTACCGAAAAAATCTCCGCATATTCGCTGGAAATAAAGAAAAAAAGAACACATTTAAGATGAATAAAATAGAACTCCCAGTATGAGCGAGACTCGCATAAGAGATCTGAATCAAATATTGAATTTACATCTGCCAGCAATTCAGGGTGACCCGCAGAAACAAAATACTCTAATTAGTCTATTTTCAGATATTTTGATTGTTCTAAAGACAGAAAATGTTCGAAATCAATCACAATCTAAAAATTGATAAAGTAGCAGGCTCATTTAATTTTGATCCTCAAATTTCGAAAATGATCCGAAAAATATTTAAAATGATCAGAAACTTTTTTTACAAATTTGATCCGAAAAATTTGCAAAGTATCCGAAAAATATTCAAAATGATCAGAAACTTTTTTTATTAGTTTGATCAGAAAAAAACCTAATATGATCAGAAAAATTTGGAAATTAGCCGATAAATATCTAAAATGATCAGGAATCTTTTTTCAAAATTGATCAGAAAAAAAACTACAATGAACAGAACTATATTTAAAAATATCCGAAATCGTTTCATAAACGGATCAGAAAAAAATGGATATTCTCCAGAAAAATGTACCGATTTCCCGATTTTCCACAGTAGCGCTTTTCCGAAAATTTTCCAACCAAAATTTTTTAATAAGTAATTTACATTGAAGAATTCCGATAAATCGGAATCTCGGAACACTTATTCTGATTTATCATTCCGATTGGTTTTAATGCCGATAAATCGGAATCATTGTTCCGCTAAATTTTCTCTGAGCGGACAAGAAATTTTTTTTTCCGGTGTCCGTCCGTTCCAAATAACTCTTAAAAAAAATAAAAAGTGTCCGTCCGTCCGTGTCCGTCGGCACTTTCGTATGACCCCTAATTCTGACTAAATGAACTTCTTTGTATGTGTGCAATGATAGTGTCTATTCGTGTAGGCGAAAAAAACTCATCAGTTGTTTACCTACGACGAAGCAGACAAGCGGATATTTTTTATATAGTTGTGTTATATTTGTGATGTGTTAACATGGATATTGCGGAACATTGCAACACGGTAAGCATATTTTTGTTCATAAAAATCTTCTGTTTGAGATTTTTGTCCACTTTTAATATTTTCTTTTATGTTTAATTGACGACAAATGATTTTATGAACCATGTGTTCATATCAGATTGTATATTTGTACAAATAAAATAAAGAGCACAAAAATAGGTAATGTAACTCATGGTAAAACTATTAAGTTTTCTGGTCAAAATGCGAATTTATTCTGGTCATTTTCGGATATTTCTATGATAAAAATATATTTCTTTCTGATCATATTTCGAAAAATTCTCTGTTAATTTTCGATATGTTTCTGATAAATTCTATATTTTTCTGATCAAGTTACGAAAAGGGTTTCTGATAAGGGAACATTGGCTAAGATGGACAGTTGGCTAAGACGGACACCAAGTCAAATTTTTGACAGATGACGTTCAAATGTCAAATTGATCAGCGTCCAGTTGATCATTCATTGTGAGCTAGTTTTTGGTGTGGTTCCGAAGAGTAAAAACGTACTCTGTGTCTGTGAAAAAAATTTCGACTAAAATTTTCTCGAAAATTCTTTTTTCTGAACACCTTTGATTTGACCATAGAGTGAATTTTTTTCGAAAAGTTTGGAAGGTAAATGTATCAAATGTTTTGTTTTCTATTCTAATTCCATCATACCACTTGAGTTTTGATGTTTTTTCATCATGGAATTTTTTTTTTGGCGTCATTCACAAAATAACGTATTTTGGCTAAGATGGACACCCATAGATTTTTTGTGTTTTGTACTCAGATTCGATTTTTATGTCTTAATATCATGATTAAAGCAATCCAATTGCACTTCAAAAGCGAATTTATCCAAATTTATCACGTTTTTAATGCATTTAGTGACCAAAAAGGTATATCGATTATAAACCTCCTTCGAGATTTTCTGGGTGTCCATCTTAGCCAATAAATTTTTTAATGCCCTACTAACTTTACTTTTTGTGTTGAAAGCTTATAAATTAATGAAAATTGAATTAATTCATAGAAATAGGCATTGTATTTCAAATATTCGTCATATTTTTCAAATTTTAATCTTTTTGAACAAATTTTCGCAATTAATTTGTATGGGTGTTCATCTTAGCCAATGAAATTTTTTTTTGACCGTTTTCGGATGGTCGGAAAATTTGCGATACAATTTTTTTTTGCACTACAACAGAAAAACTCTCTTCGGCAAAAAGTTTTCATTTTCCATCCTCTTTCGAGCCCTATTGTCAAATTCAAGAAATATGCAAATATAAAAATTTTATAGCCAAAATTCAAAGTGGTGTCCATCTTAGCCAATGTTCCCTTAATTTTAAATATACTTCTGATCATTGTAGTTTTTTTTCTGATCAATTTTGAAAAAAGATTTCTGATCATTTTAGATATTTTTCGTCTAATTTCCAAATTTTTCTGATCATATTAGGTTTTTTCTGATCAAATCAATAAAAAAGTTTCTGATCATTTTGAATATTCTTCTGATCATTTTTGATATTTTTCTGGTAATTTTCCATATGTTCGGATCATAATTAATTAATCCAAAGTAGCATATGTTTCACTCGTGATTTTAGGCGATTTTCATTTTGATGACAAAAAATATCGAATTGATATCTTCGCAGAAATTGTCTTGTCAAACTACATAAATTTACAAAAGACAATTACCGTATATCTATATTGAAATAAATGACATGTTTCAAGATTTCTTTACCGCTTGAAAACATATTCTACTTTTTTCCAATACAAAGTCTGTGAATCATACAGCACTCCCAATCCCACCCTTAGAAATATGATTATATAGTAGTATAGTATTGGCGCTGTTATCTTTAATTTTAAATAATAACTTCAGAAGCGTTTAGGTCCAAGCAATTTCATCTACTCGAATTTTTTCTTGAGTGGCTGAAATTCCATTAAGCTTGAACTATTCGATGTTACTCTATATTGAGCTTAGAATTTTTCTATACTCCAGGTACAAACTTTCGAACGAATTTTTATATCTTGCATTTGATGGACCCATCATCGTTAAACTATTGGTGATAAATGTTTAACAGACAAATAGGAAAATGTGTTTTATCCACCTAAAAATGGTGTTGCATACAAATGGAAGAACTTTCGAAATTGATTTTAAATGGAATTGTTCTTTTTTCGTTTACCAGAATTATCAACAAGCTCAAAAATGCGATTCTCAATTGCACGATTCAGGCTCAGAGTAAAAGCAAACAATGAGAAATAGACGACTAACAAAGAAACTGGACCGGAATGTTGCGAATGGTTTTTTCTGCTCTCTCTCTCTTCTGCTAGGTAAAGTTTACGTTCCACTAATAAAAATTTATGTACGTATGCACTTACCCATGCGATATTTGAAAGAAAAAAAAACGAGAATAGCATTTTAACCAACCGAAATTCATTGCATCTACTCTCTTGTATTGGCTCAACTCGAAGCATAAAAAAGATGTATAGAAAAAACTAAATTGGAGAACCCAAAGCAATTTTGATTCAACACATATTCGGCTGGCGTATACATTAAACTAATAAAAGACATTTTGGATAAAGGGATGCAGAGAGGCTGAAATTGGCTATTCCGATAGTTATTCGAGTGTAATTCAGTCTAATAATTCTATTTAATACCTATCCCATTCAGATTTTCATCCGTATTGTCTTTGGAAACGAAAATGAAGACGAACACGATAACGACGAGCTTAATCCGGTCAAACAGCGAGAATGCGTGGAAAATGCCGAAAACGAATCAGTTACGGCAACAGGAAGGGGGGAGGTTTAATCGCATGTCCGTGGTGAAAAATGTAACACCAATCCACACCACACTGCATTTTCGCAGAAGTAGATTAATTCGGTCTCTTTCGACAAGACCATTAATATATCGACAGAATCTTACATGATTTGCAAGGTAAGAAATGTGGTGTTTGAAAGCATGTATGTGTGGGATATTAGTTGGTGTATGTGAATGTTTGAATATTTGCGTTCCATATATCGTGTTCTATCATTGGAATGGGATCTAACGAGAAAATGGGCACGTTATATCGTCATTTGGTTGTTTGCTTACACTTAGTTACTCCACTTGAAACGTTATATTGCTGATGCATCGCTATTACACGCTATCGCTTTCACTTGTTCGCAAACAAACATTGGATGAATAGAATGTAAAAATGAACGGAATGAAGAAATGAGTCGAACCCAACGCAACCAAACCAAATACCGATAGGGAAAAATGCACCGATTGCAATAACATATTTGGGTTCCGTTTCACATTTCCCATTGCGCCCGTAATAATGGCAAACATTTTCGAACATTTTTTTATTGGCGATACGGGTTTAGCAATGAACAGCCGGACTATATCAAAAATTCAGAGATCCCTTTCGTTCCGCATCGCCATCTTTCCATAATTTTAATTGTAATCATATGTCGAACGAAAAGAATTTCGTAGCGATTGCAATGACAGTTTTTCTTTTCGGATAAGTACTCGGCTTGCATTTGAAATGCTTTAAAAATATAATGACTAGCTTTTCTACTTGTTCGTACATTGCACAATTTGGATCACTTCGTGGCTCAATACCAAACACTTTCATATCAAATTTGGCTTGGATGTAAATTAATTGTTATGTGCCAAAATCATATCTGGTCCCATGCGAAACATTATTATATTACATCATGGACAAAAATGCTGAATAGGTTGCAATTGGACAGCAAATGAAGTTTATTTGAGAATTTGTCTTGTTGCCTTGTTAAAGTTTCGAGTTCATCATTGGGATGCACAATGCACATTGCACATACCACACACGAAAACCAGAAATTGTGTTCACGACAATCGATACGATTCATTGATTGGTCACACATATATTGTATCTTTGCATTTCCAATGCTGAATCGTCAAACGTAAGCAACGATACGCTTTGGCATCTTTAATTCAAAAGCAACACATGAAATTATTGTCACGTGAACATGCAACAACTAATGCGTTACGATTACA